ATATTATGGTGAGGAGGAAGGGGGCGGCGGGGGTTTGGCGGTCTCCTCGGGAAGATGTAGTAACGCACGCTCTCGCGGGGAATCTGCTTGGCCTAATTCCAGCGTGATTCACAACAAGCGCCGCCGCGCGCTTCCAAGTAAAAGTGCTCATCAAAACTGCAAGCGTTCCGAAAAGCTCCAAATATGCAGCGTTTGATATCTGCCGGGATCATTTGATCTCGTCGTCTTTCGCCGGCTCCCGAGTGGCGCGGCGGACCCCGATTTGATACCGCGCATCAAACGGACGCAAGGTTTCAGAGCGCCTTGTAACCGCGTTTGTATCGATGAAGACGACACTGATCCCAATCAAGACGGCGGCGTTGTCTGATGTGAAATCAAATATGAGAGGACAAGGATCCCCCCTGCCATATTGCGGTTCATCTTTCGCATAGCTGCTATATTGCAGATGATTTTAAAATGAGCTTTTACAGTTGAGTATTCGGTCAAATCCGAATTTAGAGTTGCACATTTTTAGCGCGGCACCACGTTTGGGCTGCAACACTCACCTGGTGGATCCATGAAGTCAAAATGCACCAGGTCGTCGATTCCCAACTTCTTCAGTTGCAGCACCGTTGAGCCCAGATTGGACCTGAGGATCTCTGGATAGGCGTTGTCCTGTGCAACAAGAAACGGTAAGCGAGGCCTGAGATGGCTTTTTTCAAGCATTTCCCGCTTCCTACCTGCATCTCTGTCCTGTAGGTCTTTTCCGTATACAATCGGAAGCACTTCCCGGGACGCGTGCGTCCGGCTCGGCCCATCCTCTGTTGCGCCGACGATTTGCTGATGGCGGATACCAGAAGGGACTCCACTCGGACGCGAGGGTTGTACACCTGTCCAGGCAGGAAATTGGCACTACTACTGCATACAAACAGCGCCAATGTCCTAGCTCAAGCTACATCGAAGAAATATGCTGCAACACGAGATCTGCGAACCTTTTGCTTGGCAAACCCAGGGTCGATCACAAACACGATGCCATCGATGGTGAGGGATGTCTCAGCGATGTTGGTTGACACGACAACCTGCGGGAAAAGGAGGTCAGTGGGTTGAGAGATGACCTGACATCAAATCTCGCATGGTCACAGGGTCAGGAATTAATGGAGGTTCGTCTTGACCAAAACTCAAATTTACTCATCTCCCCGTGTGGGCTATGTTATTCAAATTTGGTAGTAACTAGATAAAATATCAACAGCAAAGTCTAGAATGATGAAAAATGTAAAACCTCCAGAGTCTTTTTAGGCATGTCTACTCATTTTAGAATTGTTTACCAAATTTCATGTTGCTACGTTAACCCATTCATGCACCACTGTCATAACCGCTGGGCCTGAAAGAGTTAAACTGGCTTCGGGGGCTGAATTTGAAAAACAATCTGACAATTTTGGGGAGCCATTTGGGGAGTTTTTGAGTATGACTGATGATTTACTCTCATCGACCTGAAGCACACATTACACTCGGGGCACCCGTAAGTTAAGGTACCTCCGAAAAACCTGACTGAGGCAATGAAAAGTAATATTTGCAAATAGAAAGGGAGGCAGAACCTCCAGCGCATTCTGGTCCCGGATCAGTTTTGATTACAATTATCCCGACAGCAAGACTGCCTATGAGAAATGACAGTCAAATGAGTCATCGCACCCGATGGGTCCGTGGCTGTCAGCATATACACAAACTGCACATCACGCGAACGCAAACCGCCCGCCGCTGGGGTGAGATCTCCTTATATAACGATGGCCCTTTTAGATTCATCACAGCACTCAGGACTGTGACGGCTGACTAATAGCTCACTCCAACTGGCAACTGCCTCTCTAGTGTCATAACTTAATATGCGGGTGGGCGTCGAATGGGAAAAAAAAAGAATGCTTCTTTCCGTGTACATCGGCAACTTGTGTTTACTTACCTCAGCCAAGACGAGGCAACCGTGAATCTAATCATAAGTGGGGAAACCTTCCAGATTTATTTTTTACTCTATACAGTATGTACGTTCAAACTCGTCACATTGCTCAGTGAACCTCTGTCTTACCTTGTGGACCTGAATTATTGGAGTTGAGAGTTTTATGGCGAGTCATCATTCGCCGCCGTGCTTTAGCCGAAAAACACAAATGTTTCACAACTTCGTTACCCATCTGTCTCGTATACTTGGTTGAAATTTGATGGCAATCGCAAAACCCTTGAGTTCTTAAGACTTTTTTTTGTTTATCTGCTCATGACAGATATGCCCACTAAATTTCATGTTGCTAAGTAACATTTTCACATTTAACATTTAATAGCCAGTCAACAAACCTGAAGTGAGCAGAAAACAGCAGCTTCAAACCAAAATGGCAGGCTTTTTTTCTTTTTTGGGCATGACGTCTTGAGACTTTTTTGTGTATCTACTCAAAATCAAGATAGACATGTCCACCAAATTTCATGTTACGAAGTGACATTTTCAAACCAAATGTACTGAATTTTTGACATTTAATGGCCGATCAGCAAACCCGAAATGAACATAAAATGGCCGCTACAAACCAAAATGGCAGACATCCTGTGTCTTTTTGGGCATGGTTTCTTCAGACTTTTTTGTGTAACTACTCATGATAGATGTAACCACCACATTTCATGTTCCTAAGTGACACTGTCAAACCCAATTTATCTGATTGTTAACGATTAATGGCCAGTCAGCAAACCTGAAATGAGCACACAATAGCTGCTTCAAACCTAAATGGCAGACTTCCTGGTCTTTTTGAACATGGCTTCTTGAGACTTTTTTGTGTATCTCATGATAGACATATCCACCAAATTTGACATTGCTAAGTGACATTTTCAGACCAAATGTCTTTTTTTGTTTTTTTAACATTTAATGGCTAATTAGCAAACCTGAAATTAGCATAAAATGGCCACTTCAAACCAAAATGGCTGACTTCCTGTGTCTTTTTCGGGGTGGTTCCTGGAGACTTTTTTTTTTGTGAATATACTAATGATGGACACGCTTTCCAAATTTCAGGTTGCTAAATTTCGCTGTCACAAGAGAGTTTTGAAGAATTGCATTTCTGATCTTTTGGGAACAAGATGGCCGAGCGCTTACCCATACGCACCAATAGGCAAGGCTGTCTGTGGGACAGAAGCAGCTGCCGCGCATGACACCCTCTCCCATTTCCCCATCATATCGTTGGCGTCATTGACTGCATTGATTGTGAAGGATTATCTCGGCCGGGGCCATTACGCCCGATGCCTGCTGGCTCTTTCCAGTCTGTTGGCACGCTAGATAATCCGGGCCTTGCTTCATCAGTAATATCATTAAAGCGTCGTGTCTGCGTGTTATTTCTGGGTTATTCCCTGCAGAGGGAGCGAGCGCAGCGGCTAACGCGGGCCATCGCTCACAGTTTAACGCTCGCGACCCGAGCTTTGTTGACAAATAAAGCTCGGGCTTAAACTGAAAAGTGCGTCAAACGACGCGTCCGCATTCAAAAGGGTCGAGAGATTTGACGTAACACTCCAGATAAACTCATCGTAACACATTTGACGTGAGGCCGCCCAGGAGGAGTGCGTATTACCTCCTCCTTCCATTTGTGGCCAGGATTGCTGGCTCATGGAGTTGCTCCTTCCTTGACTTCCTGTTTTATGTCAACGATTCAAGAACAGCAGGTCCAAACAGGAGGAACAATGTTCGATTTCATACCAGGTTTAGTTTAGTTTTGTCACGAACCGTGTGCAGAAAATATTCAATTCATAGTAGAAATGCTTTAATTATAGCATTTTTGCATTACCATTCATTCCAGGAGTTGGAAGTGCTTTTATGTTTTGTTTTGTTTTTTTTTATCTCAAGACACGAGTGTATATGCAAATATAAAATCAGTAAAGCAATTAAGGAACTGTAAGGAGAGCCACAGATGCCGATGCACTTTCGTTCATTCCAGGAGTTGGAAGTGCTTTTTTGTTTTGTTTTGTTTTGTTTATCTCAAGGCACGAGTGCATATGCAAATATAAAATCAGCAAAGCAATTAAGAACTGTAAGGAGAACCACAGATGCCGATGCACTTTCTGACACTTATTCAACAGGACCAAGAGTCAAACACACAAATGCAAAATGAAAACACTCACAAGGAGCGACGTCACTCACTGGGCCACGCCCCATAAAGGCCCACATCCAACATGTTCATCATCCTGTGTGACTGAGCTTGCGATTTTCAACTGGATGATATGTCATAATTCTGTTAATTCCTACTGTGCGCAGTGGAAGTTATCGATTTAGATTTTTGTTTACCTTCCTTCCGATGGCACCGTTGGGTTTATTGGCCGGAGGCGACTCGAAGATTCTCTGCTGTTGCAGTGGCGGCAGTGTGGAGTACAGCGGGATAATTTTCACCTCGCCGGCGTCAGGTCCCAAGTCGTTGACCTCCGCCTTGATGCGTTTGCAGGCCTCCTCGATTTCCTGTAAAAGACAAACCGAGCATGAATCAAATAAAGCGGCCACGAAACAGAAGCACATTGCTACTACTTGCAGCTATCCCTCTAATTTGACGCCACAGCTTTAACGGGGACTGCGGCGAGCAATCACGGAAAACTGCAAGCCTGGGCTGTACCACCACCTGCAGGCTAGTGAAGGCATTGCATGGCAAGCCAGCCAGCAAAAAATGCAAAACAAAAAAATAATAAAGCAATGCATGGTCAGCAAAGTGAAATTCTTAAGAAAAATAAATAGTGAAGTAAAAGTTGAATAGCTCTCTCTCTCTCTCTCTCTCTCTCTATAAATACACACACACACACACACACACACACACACACACACACACACACACACACACACACACACACGAGATACACACATGCAGAGAGAGACAAAGAGAGAGATAAAAAAAGAGACCTAGAAAGAGAAAAAGAGAAAGCGAGACAGACTGACAGACAGATAGACAGATGTACATATGTATTTGTGGCCCGCAGTCTTTTTTAGGGGCCCACAGGATATACAAAAACAACTCTTGACAGGGCCAACAACTTCATTGGAGGGTGAAAAGTGGATCGCAACACCCACTTCCCCCATGGGTGCAACGCACCAGAAAGCTATCATGACTACCACCAGGAACAAATGTGCGTCCTCGAGCTTCGAGCTAGAATCTGTTTGCATCTAAAATAGTATCGTTTGTCTTTATAATTAATACAAATAATTTGCTTTCAGAAGCAAGAATTATTTTCCTCCACTTTCTTCTGTCTGTGTCAAGGTTTGTGAATATAACACATGAATAATTGATGAGTGTGAAACGTGTCTGAGGTTTTTTTGTCACCGTTGAACGTGAATGAGCGAGCTCACCGGTGGTCCCTTTATACATCACATGAAGTCAAAGCCTTCCGATGGCCGCGTGTCTCTTAATCAACGCTGTGACAAGTGGGGAACCGGCAAATCGGAATGGATCGGTCGAATTAGCCGGCGTATTAAGAGCCAATCAAGCCTCGGGATGCAGCAGCTGCTGCGAAGGGGGAAAAAAAGCGCTCTTTGCCAAAGCGCTGGAAGCAAGCTGGGCTGGTGTTCCCGGAGGAATACGGCCCACGTGTTGGGTCGTGTCCACCAGCCAATACCCACACGCTTCCCTCCACGAGGTCACCCTCTTTGGATTTGCCCCACTCACCGCACTACTGTGCGGTGTTTTGACGCTCGCAGTTGAGAGCTGAGGGGGAAGCTTAAACATTAGGACTTATCTTTGCTTGAAAGTTGGGATGGGTTTGGTGTTGAAAGCAGGGGTGTACCAAACTCAAAAAAAAAAAAAAAAACACGGACACGGACACGGATTGCCTCCCCATCATTATCTCACTTCAAAGTTGCTGCTAGGCCGTAGAGGTGAAGAAGAAGAGCTAGAAGGAGGCTGCAACGGCACCCTTTGAACATTACACTCCTTCGACCCAATTAGGATGCTCAATAATGAACAACCTCCCCGCCCACCCCAAAAAAATAAAATAAAATTGGAGAGCATGAGCCACAAACATCACAGATGATGTGCGAGACAAGGGGCCCTGATTTGAAATTAAAACAAAGTTTGACAATACTTTTTTAAAAATGATATGCAGTGGTGCCTTGACATAAGTGCCCTGACTTGGGATTTGCCCTTTTTAAAATTTTCTTCAGATACAAGCAAAACTTGTGTGGCTCAGAGGCCCAACACGAGATGGCGGCGATATACTTGACAACATCCAGGCACTATCAATTCAGATTGGTTTCCTTGCACTGGAAGTACAAGATCAGTTGGTGGCGCTGATGGACCATTAAACTGCCGTGCCGCCTGCCAATATCCTCCACAGAAGAAGGAAGGTCCATACATGAGTTACAGTCATATTTTCTGCGTCCATTTTTCATGGTTGTCGGTTATATGCAGAGCAAATGAAACAATGAAAACTGTTGTGTGTGTGCTCTGCCGTCATACAAAATAAACCCTCTGTCCACAAATCTTTATTTCCTGCAATGGCAATGACAAGTAAAGAAAAAAAAAAACAAACAAACACCCAATGCTTGTTTATCAGGCTTTGGCTGGAAATCTAGAGACATTTGTTGAGCTTTTCTGTGTGCGTGTGTTCACCCAGCTGTAACCAAATTCATCATTCCGAGAGTGAACCCTGCCCTCTATTACACATCAATGGGCAAGCGTGTGCAGGGGAAAAAAATGACTTAATTTCAGGAGATGGTGCGGAGGAAGGAACGACAGGTTGGTCACTCCTCTCCTTCTCGCTTAGGTATGCTATTCGCACAAGCATTTGGCCTCAAAACGGACACGATAACGCCCTTGGTCTACATCGGGGGTGTCCAAACTTTTATGTTTGAGGGTTGCATCCAGACACCCCTGGTAGAGATCATTGTGTCCAGTGCACCCTCGAAACTTGAATGGCAGAGAGACAACACATGCACAAGCATTTGGCCTCAAAACGGACACGATTACGCCCTTTGTCTACATCGGGGGTGTCCAAATTTTTTGTTTGAGGGTTGCATCCAGACACCCCTGCTAGAGATCATTGCGTCCAGCGCACCCTCGAAACTTGAATGGCAGAGAGACAACACAAAATGTGACCTACAATTTCAAGTAATAGACAGAGTCGGAAACACAAACAGAAAGTCAAAATCATTGACTGTTTGGATGACAACAGATAGGCTAGAAATTGTACCGGCTTTATGGTGAGCAAAAGGTAGCTCACGTTAGTTTGACACGTTTGAGGTGCTGCTGATAGCATATCATAAAGTCCGCTTGTCAGAGGCTGAGCTGCACTGTGTTTGTTCACAGCATAAGTGTGTGTTGAAAATGTGAGGCAGTTGACTGCTTGAGTGCTATTTCCGTAAAATGCCATCAACGGGAATCCTAATAAGGAGTGCCGTCAACTGAATTGCTGTCAATGACCTATTTATTCATTTTTTGAAATGGAATGGGTGGCGAAATGTTTTGGCAAACTCTGTGTTGAACGTCTATCTGGAAAGGGAATAAATAAATAAATACATACATAAATAAATAAAAATAAAACATTGCCACCACTATTGCCAGCAGATGGCAGCATTGGATCTCTCATGGATGGTGTCACAACAACGTGTAAGATCCTAAAAGATGGCGGACTCACAGAATTGCGATCGTGACAAGCAGCCTGGGATTGATTCAAGTGTTTGTCACATTAAATCTATTACCAAAGTGTCACAAAAGAAAGAAAATATGACAGAGATTCTTAAAATTTGAGGTTGAAGTGTTGACATAATGTACACACGCGTGCATGCACACACACTAATAAATACTACTACTACTACTACTACTACTAATAATAATAATAATAATCAAGATTCAACTCTCGAAACGTCAACTGTATACATCCCAAACATCCAAAGTATATAACTAAGCTCCACAGTGAGAGTTAGCATTTAGTTAGCAAAGCAAATGTAGCATTTTTGTAAGCTCTCTCTTTTCCTGCAGACAAGATATTTGACATATTTTGTCATGATTCTGTTTGTGACCAACAGGTGGCACTGTAGGGCTCCCTCCTGCAGCTGCACACCTGGGCCGGCCGTTAAAGAATGCCTGGAACTTTCCTGCATCCAGCGTGGCGCTCATGACGATTACCTGCAACGCGGAAAAACAGCCAGGGAGAGCGGCCAATTATGGAGCGGCCACTCGAGCGGAGAATGAGTTCACGATCCGTGACAATGATGATGATGACACAAGGTGGTAAAAAGCCACACAGGATGACTGTTGTTCTTGCAGGCTTTTGGGACGCTCTCGCAAGATGTTGGCGACCGACACAGGGACACCGCAGTCCTCGTCGGCTCATGTTGGGTACATGTCATTCCCTTCCAAGCCATCACATCAAGCGCATTAGGATTCTGAGGGAAAGTGTGTCACTCCCTTTTCAATCTCCGCTATTTTCCGGGGTCGGCGTCTCGGCATTTTCGCTTTACGCACGGCGGGGCATCATAATTGCTCTTAATCAAGGCAAATTAAACGTCCCGGATTCGCCAGCCGATGGGGATGCAGGAGATGGGGAGGGCGTGCGCTAGGAAGGAGGATCGTTCGCAATAACCTCAGATTCCACAATGACAAACAATCAAGGCGTTATCCATCTGCTTTATGAGCACTGCGGTTAACAGCCGAGTCAGGTTTAGTGTTACTTGCCGATGGATTAACTATCGGCTGTGAACAAAGAAACAGTTTTTGAAGTAAATAAAGAACGGTTTTCAGACTACAAGGGACTTCTCGAGGCAGGGCTTAGCCATGGTCATTACTGCTCGGTGTAAGAAGGTATAAGTGTGTCAGCAGTGGTGGGCGTGTCATTAAATATTCGGCAGCAACAAACCCACAAGTCCGCCATCATCAGTCCGTCATTATTTAAGGCAGATTTCAGTCGTTTGGGGGATGGAAGAAAATAGCTTCCATCGGTGCTTAGTCCATCA